AAAAAAAAATAGAGACTAATAATAGAAAAAAGCAAAAGTGAATAGGTCGATTGGTTTCCATGAGCCTTACATAACGTGCATACGTGATCGTACTGGTCCTGCGCAGCATCATGTGCTGCGCAGCTAATTTATGAATAACGATACCCAATTTCATAGTTAAAAACACAACCAAAAAACAAAGGCTACTCGAAATAAAGCATGGAAGATTGGTCCGAGAACCAAGTATCCTACTGCCACTAGGACCCCGGTTACATGATCTTTATTTAATATGATACTTTCATATCTATCTATTCATACCGTTTAGTTCCATGAAATCAATAAGTTTTATACGTGATGGGCTTTTGCTACTACGATTAGAATCTTACAAGCAATATAACTATTTATAATATTGGGGGAAATTCTATGACTAACGGTGAGTAATTCATATTCATTTACATGACTATGATTTTAGTTCCCACCATTTGAATACCAGAAGCACTTTACTATTGTCACCATAGAGCACTGCATTTAGTACCCCCAAGAATTGTACTCTACCAGATTAAAACCTCATTACTGTCGTTTAATTTAAATTATGTTTGTGTAGTTATTTTCATCCAATAAACATGACCCTTGTCTAAGAATCATTCAAAGTATTTCCCACTGGATTTTATCTTTTCCCTCGCATAAAATCACCGGGTACAAATCAAGTTAGCCGGGGTTTTTTTGATTTGTACCCCGGGCATTGAATGCAATGCTTTACGGTACTTCAATAGAATTTCGCCTTGAGCCAAACAGAATTAGCATTATTAAATACTTTCGCTTTTGTCGATCAATGAGAATTAAGGTCCCGATTCTTATAACTTTGGGTCACGTATTCTTGGCCAGGTTACTTTACACCATTATAGCGGACATAAAATAACCATTGCAAATTTGCTTTTATATGTACCTTTTAATCACATTTAGCATTTAGTACAAACACATTATTCGTTCATTACATGATATTGTTTTATATTAATTTGTTCATAAAGCTTAGGCGGTGAAGCCGCCTACATGTCATATGATTAATACTATCCTGGGTAGTTTGTACGATAAACCAAAGAAAGTATTTAAACAAAAAAATTAAGCCAATAATTTTCTATAATATAATATAATATTAATTTTCTATATAAATTTCTTATCTTTCAGTAAATACATTAAACCTTGGTGACGAAGTCGCCATATATGCAAGTTCTATTTATGTATTGTTAATTGATAATCTAAGTCTTTATTTAATGCTAGTATAAGCCCCTTTTAATTCGATATCCGTTGGTTTGAATATAAGTGTGTAAATGCTTATCCAAAACTATGATTCTCTGTTATACATGCATAATATACCAATACTATACAATACAACACGCTCATTTATAGCTCCCTTTAAACAACTCAAGCGCCTAGTTTTATATATAAAAATTTATAAAAATTTGTTTTGTGGCTTAGGTTGATATTACGCAGGTTGATATTAACGTTAATGAGGGTCAACTGTATTTGGTAAGTTACCGATAGGTTTAAATTCAACATAGTTTTATAATGCATTATGATTTAACTGATTTAAAAGTTAATGAACTTGAAATCATCTGAACAAGTAAAATGTCTTTTCAAGTAAACTCTAGAAATTAAAGCCTTTGCTATATGAAAATTCATTTAGATTAACAAAAAAAATCTGACCCCGATCGAAATGCAAATAGGGTTGTGTTACATAAATTACAATTTTACATTATACGTAATTTTACGTAAATTTCAGAAAATTAGATTTCATGTAATTTTCACACGCCATAAATGAAGCTCCAGATTTACAAAATTTCGGTAGCATTATTGCATTTTTTTGATTTGAATGTATGATCCGAATTGTAACTCCTAAAATGCCGAAAATTTGATCTCAGAAGCTAAATGTCATGTGTTCAAAATTACAAATACATGAAAAATTGATTTACGAAATTTACAGCAAAATTACATTAAAATTACGCAAAATTGCAGTAATTTTACATCCCTAAATGCAAACCTAAAAATCACCTTTGTGTAACCTTAGTAATTTAATTACTGTTGAATTTTTAAAACTTTGAGCGAAGTTTTTCTGACTAAATTCGATAAAAATTTTTTATTTTAATTATACGAAACTTCTCTCAAAGTTTTAAAAAATTTAGACACCTAATTTGCTGATAGACAAATCAGTTCTTTCTAAAATTAAGCGAAGCTTCTCGATTACTATCTGACAAAATTCATGATTTTTTATTTTATTTATTTTATCATATTCATAAAATTAAAATAAAATAAAAAGTTCATTGAATTTGGTCAGGTAATATCAAGAAAACTTCGTACAAATTTTTAAAAAAAAATCTAAAATCTATACCATCTAATTCAGAGTTCGTCCGTTTAAACGTTTCTGATTGGTCATCTTTAGACAACGTGAACTGAGTGTGGGAAAATTTTAAAAAACTATCTGTTAATTACTCATATTCAACATTTATAGTAATAGTAATAACTTTATAAGGATTGATCACTGCTAATTTATCGAAACTGTAATTGTTGCGACATTTTAATCATATCGGTATGATTTAATGACATAACATAAACGTCATAATTTGTAATCAATTTGTTTAATATACTTTAGTGAGTAGTAAGGTTTGCAACAGACTTTTTTATGGTACTCATGATAAAAACCATAATACGTAATTCAAACACCAACTAACTCAACCTATTATGAATATTAGCAGTTAGAATAGGGAGCGACAAAACCATATAACAATATATTATGGTTATTGGATTGCGAGTCATAGTGAGTATGAAGTTTAATTCTGCTCGCTTTAACGATTGTGTTTCGAAAGAATATATGTACGATTAACCATAATCATTTGGTCGTTTGGTAAATCGTCGGGGTGAGTATGAAGTTTAATTCTGTTTGCTTTAATGATTGTGTTTCAAAAGAATGTATGTACAATTAACCGTAATCATTTGATCATTCAGTAAATTATAGGGGTGAATATGAAGTTTAATTCTGTTCACTTTAACTATTATGTTTTGAAAGAATGTATGTATGATTAACTATAATTATTTGATAGTTCAGTAAATCAACAAGGTGAGTATGAAGTTTAATTCTGTTCGCTTTAATGATTGTGTTTTGAAAAAAAAAATATACGACTAACCGTAATCATTTGATCATTCAGTAAATCATTGGTGTGAGTATGAGGTTTAATTCTGCTCGCTTTAACGATTATGTTTCAAAAGAATGTATGTACGATTAACCGTAATCATTTGATCATTCAGTAAATCATCGGGGTGAGTATGAAGTTTAATTCTGCTCGCTTTAACGATTGTGTTTTGAAAGAATGTATGTACAATAACCGTAATTATTTGATCATTTAGTAAATTGTCAGGTGAGTATGAAGTTTAATTCTGTTTGCTTTAACGATTGTGTTTCAAAAGAATGTATGTACAATTAATTTATAATGTAAACGACGCTGAAATCAACGTTGAAATCAACGTTGATCTCAACGTTAAAGTCAACATCGTTGACCTCAACATTACAATCAACGTTAAAATCAACGTTGACTTCAACGTTGAGGTCAACATTGAAATAGACGTTGAAATCAACATTGAAATCAACGTTGAGGTCAACGTTGAAATCAACGTTAAGGTAAACGTTAAGATCAACGTTAAGGTCAACGTTAAAGTCAACGTTGAAATAAACGTTAAGGTCAACGTTAAAGTCAACGTTGAAGTCAACGTTAAAATCAACGTTGAGGTTAACGTTGAGGTTAATGTTGATTTCAACGTTAAAGTCAACGTTGAAATCAACATTGAAATCAACGTTGAGGTCAACGTTAAGGTCAACGTTGAAATCAACGTTAAGGTCAACGTTAAAGTCAACGTTGAAATTAACGTTAAAGTCAATATTGAAATCAACGTTAAGGTCAACGTTGAGGTTAATGTTGATTTTAACGTTAAAGTAAACGTTATTGAGGTCAACGTTAAGATCAACATTAAGGTCAACGTTGAAATCAACGTTGAGGTCAACGTTGAAATCAACGTTAAAGTTAACGTTGAAATCAACGTTGAAATCAACGTTAAAGTCAACGTTGAAATCATCGTTGAAATCAATGTTGAGATCAATGTAGAGGTCAACGTTAAAGTCAACGTTGAAATCAACGTTAAAGTCAACGTTGAAATCAACGTTAAAGTCAATTTTGAAATCAACGTTGAGGTCAACGTTGAGGTTAACATTAAAGTCAACGTTAAGATCGGTGAAGCAGTAGCTAAAAAGATGAAAAAGTGACAAAGCAATGAAAAAAACGACAAAAGAAGCACCAAAAAAGAGACGAAGGCAACGAAAAACAACGAAAAAGGCACCAAAAAAACAACAAAAATGCACCAAAAAAACAATGAAAGAAGTACAAAAAAGCAACGGGAAGTACCAAAGAAGTGATGAAAAAAGCACCGAAATAAGCACCGAAAAAAAACAGAAAGAACAACTAAAAAAAACAACAAAGGAGGCAGCAAAAGAAGCATCAAAAAAGTGATGAAAGAAACACCGAAAAAGCGATAAAAAAAGAACTGAAAAGAGAAGAAAACAAAATTTACCTAATTTAAGTATTTGATATAAATTAATGAATAAGATAGGTGGCGCTTCGCGCCACCTATCGCACTAGTTATATATGTACTATACGTACTTTAATGTCTTTTGTAATAAATATTGAAAAATATCAAATTGAAATTATAGCTTTACCTGAACTATACTTAGATCAGATTGACCAGATTTCAATAAATACAAATTTTTTAGGCTTAAAATCTGTTGAAGCCCACCAATATAAATAATTAACGCATTCAGTAATGATATAACAGTATTGTAATCTCTTGTTGACCAAGTCAAAGTAGTAATATTAATAATATCAAGTATATTCATCTTACTAAAGTATGTGGATGACAACTCTCCAGTATTGTTGGTTTATCCAAAATTTTCCCATAACAGCCTGGATCCTACTATACTTTGAGATCTATTATTAAATCCAATAATGTTTTGTATTTTCTACTATAATTGAAATATTAGAATTCTTAGCATTGTTAATTTTCAAGTATTAGAATTAAACTAATTATATTTAAAAGATAATTATCAATAGTTGTGTTAAAAAAAATACATCCTTTTACAAACAAAAAAAATAGTATAATCATCATTAAGATTAATACATAATGTACCAAGTTTATATTCTATCTGCACCTGCACGATAATAGAGCATTAAATGAGCTTAATAAATCACTTCTTAAAAAGCATTTGTAGGTGAAAAAATGAAGTTTATTATGAAAATATCAAAACAGCATATAATGATACAATGCTTGTTATATTTATAATAATTAACAAGAATTAGATATATAAATCTAATATTTTTAACTTATAATACAGGGTTCATGAAAGACGAATGATTACATCTAATTGACGTGTCATCACGTCAAAAGCGCTATAATGACTTAGGACGCAACGGTTACGTAAGACGCAACTGTTGACATAGGACGTTGTCATAGGACACGATGGTTGACATAGAATGCAATATTGATATTTTTTATAAATTAATTACGGAAATATATAATAACGTGGGACGATTAAATGATTAGTTACTATTATGAATTGATTTTATGGATTTACTTTTTTTAGTATAATCGTCAAATCAGTATCGATAAATCTGCTTGCATTACGCTAGCTTACCCCACTAAAAATATACCTACAAAAATCATATGCATGATTCTCAAAATTCGTGCGCATTCTAATAATAATAGACAGATTTAAATATGTGTTAAAAGCTAGCTTTATGTAATAAAACGAGTAATATACTAATAATTTGGATGGAGTTATAATAATAACGGGTAATAATACATAATAATTAATATGC